TGATTAGTTAGTGAAAATATTGTGACCAGAAGCTCACAGGAACCTAACCTTATATTTATTTCTTCTAATGGGAATGGTTTAACATTATACAACATAAATTCCATGGATAATAAGTATCTGTAATAACTCAACAACTGTAATCACGATGTGAAAACATGTACTTGTGACACAGACAATACAGATTCACCTGTGTTGTCTACATTCAGGACGGAAGGAAATGCTAAATGTTAGATGACGGTGAAGACTTAATTTTTCCCCATTCCCGTTTATAGGCACTCTTGATTCTGCAGGTCCCTGTGGAGCCCAGTTAAGGATGCCTTCTCGGGGTGGCACCTGTGGCTCAAAGGAGTAGGGTGCCAGCCCCATATGCCAGAGGTGGTGGGTTCAAACCCAGCCCCGCCCAAAACAAACAAACAAACAAACAAAAAAAAAAAAATAAGAAAGAAGAATGCCTTCTCCAGAGGGATTACAGCAGAGAGAGGGCGGGATAGAGAAGCCGGGCAGATTCCCAGGGGACTCAGGTGGGTAGCAATACAAGTCTCATCTAAAGATCTTTATCTGATTTGCCTTTGCTGGGGGAGGGGGGGTCTGAACATTTTTTATATCAAGGCCTAAATTCCCAAAAGGCTTTGCCTTAAATGAAATATGCGGAGGGTGGGTGGAAATAGAAATTCTTGGTAATTATTCATATGGAAAATGGTGAGCTTCATTTCAATAGCAAAGGGCAAGGCAGATGTTCCCCCTGAGAATAGGACAATCAAATGACAATAGGATGTAGGGGGCATTTAGAACCCCAAGGCCAGGGTGCAAAGAGAAGAAGGCTGCTCTCTGTTGATGACTTATTTCTTATTGTCCTCACCGCAAGGAGCATGATTCAAGGGGCTTAATTCAAATGCATCAAAAAAAAAAGGCTACATTTTTGAAGTAGCAAAAAATAACAAAGTGTGACCTGGAGAGCAACATTAACTTTTCATGCATTCACTCATCCATTCAGTACTATTTCTTGAACACTTGTAGTGGGCCCAGCATTGCGTTAGAAGCTACAGATGGCAGGAGAGGATGTGACTGGCCGGGTTCCCATCTCGTGGAGCCTGGGTTCAGGTTCTAGTGCTTCTTGCCCAGGGCCCCTCCAGAAAAGCCCTTCAGCTGTCTCTCTGAGGCAGTTTTCCTACCCCAGCATCTGGCTGGGGCTGAAAGCGCAGCTCAAGGGGCACTGGTGCAGAAAAGGGGGTAGTAGCTGTCCCACCCCAGTTATCCTGCAAATCCTGGACTCCTAGAAGTACGCAAAGCACCTACAGAGGCAGAAGGTTCCTAAGCCAGAGAGAAAGTCTTGGTTGACTTTCAAAGAAGGGACACGTCTGGACTGGTGTGGAGTGTAGAGAATGCAGACAGATGTGAGTGAGCTTCTCTCTGGGGCTCCTGACCGGGGGAGAGGGCCTGGATTCAGCCTCTGGTTCTTGGGAAGGTGATAGTGGTATTTAGTATTGATTTATATTTAGTATTTGTTTGGGGGTATTAGTGTGTTCTAAAAAACTGAGAGGGTGTCACCTTCCTCTCCCACTCTCCCACTCCCTACAAGCTATGCTTGTAGGATCAGGACTCAGGACTCAGTCACCTCTGTCCTCCTGCCTGAGCTTGTCCAGAAGATGGAACTAGTTAAATTCTTCCCCAACGTTGGGTGGGTGATCAGACCACAAGAGAATTTAAAGTGCTATTTTTTTTTTTCTGGAGGGGTGGGAAGTGGCCGGGGCAGAGATAACATCTGGGGTAAGAGGAGGAGAGAGAATGGGGTGGACCCCCTCTTTGTATTCTCAGAATCTCCTAGATATCCGCTCTGGTTCCCCCCACCTTTTAAAGTAACTCCAGTCCTTCAGGGCCTTCTGGAAGAAGATCAGGGTCTAAAGTAAGTTCTCTATCCCCCCCAACAGCAAATGCAATACAAGGCTATGAACTTCACAAGCATTCTGGAAAATAGGAATTATTATAGGATAGCAATAAGATAGTTCAGAAGCATTTGAAATAAGGGAGGGATTAGACAGAATTCTTTCTAAAGGAAGGAATTTTAATGCACATTCTCTGTGTGTATCTTGAGACTGAATGATTCAGATTTCAGATTAAATATGAATAGCAAAACAGCAATATAACAGGTATTGACATTTTCGTGCTTAAAAATAATATGAACTATTGAAACACTAAACCCAGTAATGAATGTGTTTACTGAGATCCTGTGGTCAGATGTGCCTCTCAGGAGGAGGTGGGGACACCAGGTTTGTGCTTCCCCCGCCCCTGACCTCTGAACCTCGCAGTCTCTAGTTCATTCTTGTTTATGCTCTGCATGAAACAGCAGCCCCCAGACAGTGTGTTGGCGCGCACGTTGATCTCCCCTCCAGGGGTAAGCGCTGGTTAGAATGCGCAGAGAGTTCTATCCACGTGACAGAAATGAATGGATCAACAACTTTTCAGTGTTTTGTCCCCCGCCCTCCAGAACTGGTACTCACATACAACCTGGCAAATTAATCTTGTGAATAAAGATAGATTTATCATAAATCTAATGAAGAGGAAGGTTTATGGTCCTTTCTAAAGCCCTCAAGGGGTCCCAGAAATGTGTTCATGTGGTCCTATGTTTACAGAATTAATATTTTAAACACAATCTCTCCCTCTGTCTCTGACTCTCTCTCTCTCACACACACAGGCTTTGGAGTAGGCACAGGAAATTTTTGGCATCTCCCTTAGTTTTGGTGAATGGGGAGTGGAAGTGGAGATCCATTTAGGTTGGGGTTGGGTTGGTGTTTATGTAGTTTGCAGTCGTTGCTGTTCATAGCTGGGTTATTGCTAGCCGTGCTCTGTGGGAAGGCCTTCCAGGGACACTTCTACTGTGCGTCAGCATCGTGACTAGGGTGCGGGGCCAGTGGTCATATCATATCGCAGTATGAACGTACGTGGGTGGGGCAGGGGAAACGAGGTGTGAGGTGCGCAGGGCCAGATGCCAATCCGTGGCAATGGCAGTGGCTTCTGATCATCAGATGTGCAGATGAGCAGGAGATTTGCTTTGCCCTGGTTCCCCCTTCAGCACAGAAGTGGGTCACTGTCAGGAACACACTCAGTGATGAGCCACACACAGTTATACCCACGCTGTCATTCTAACTTTGTCTTTATTGAGACAGAGGTTTGGGTGCAGATGGTTTATTTGGGAAGCAGGAATGAGGGAGCCTGGAAAGTGAGATAGGGAAGAAGAAACACTGGCATGGGACAGTGCTGAGGTGGTCACGGCTATGAGCAGAGGGGACTGATCCTGCCGGGAGCCCAGGAAGCACACAGAATCCCTCCCCAAACTGACCACCTGAGGAGGCAGCTGGTACAGGTATTCACTGGCCCTGAGTCCTCACTGGGGTGCTTACTGTCCCACACCCCTGGGCTGTGCCAAGACTCCAGGGGGCAGAAAATAGAAACATGTGCCTACCTGGGGTGGGATGCTGGTGGCACAGGTGGCCTGGGGTTACACAGACTAACCACTGAGTCCAGGGCTGTGTTCAGAGGTGAGTGGGGGAGGTGACACAAGGATGAGAGTGGTATGCAATACACTTGATCAGAACCCCTGTGCTGGCTGGGGGCGGTGGCTCAGGTCTGTAATCCTAGCACTCTGGGAGGCTGAGTTAGAAGGCCTGCTTTAGGCCAGGAGTTCAATCAGCCTGAGTAAGAGCAAGACCCTGTCTCTACTAAAAAGAGAGAGAGAGAGAAACTAACCAGATGTTATGGTGGGCTCCTATAGTCCCAGCTACTTTTGGGGCTGAGACAGGAGGATTTAACAAACCCAAAAGTCTGAGGTTGCTGTCATGGTCAATGCCATGGCACTCTAGCCTGGGCAACAGAATGAGACTCTCTCAAGAATAAAAGAAGAAAAGGAATCCCTGTGTTTATTGGATGCAAACCTGTACCTACTGCAACTAGAGGGTGGGTCTTTAATAGCTCAAGCCCAAAAGAAATGTCATAGAGGTTTTAATTTAATAGCAATCCTAAAAATGTATACGAGTTTACCTACTAATAAGGAGTTGTATAGAGGAAAGAAACTTCTAACTTACCAATAATGAGAAACAAATTTTATTTTTCTATTCCTTCTATAGACAGAGACATCACAAAGTCATTGATAGAAAAAGAGGTGATCAGGTAATGCAGCTAAAGGATGTAAGAACACTTTTTTTGTTGCTGTTGTTTGAGACAGAGCTCGAGCTGTCACCCTGGGTAGAGTGCTGTGGCATCTCAGCTCACAGCAACCTCCAACTCCTGGGCTCAAGCGATTCTCCTGCCTCTGCCTCCTAAGTAGCTGGGACTATAGGCACCCACCACAATGCCTGGCTATTTTTTGGTTTCAGCTGTCATTGTTGTTTAGTAGGCTGGACTGGATTCAAACCCACCAGCTCAGGTGTATGTGGCTGGCGCCTTGGCCTCCTGAGGCACTGGCATCTAGCCATAAGAACACCTTTTGAAGGAAAAATTTGTCATTTTTCAGGACTTTGTGGTGCTTATGGTACCATTTTAAACATTGGTAATTTGTTATGATTTCTTTTCTCACTCTGAACATTCAAGTTTCGTATTTAGAGATTTGTGTTCTGTTTTCAGAGAGGCCTCATGAAGCTGGACTGTGCCTGCCTGTGCTGGCCCTTGGCATGCAGCAGCTGGCGTCCTGGGAGGAGCCTCAGCTCATCATGTCGTCCTTAAGAAGTCAACGACAGAGGGAGGATCGTTCCCTGGCGTGCCAAGACCCTGGGTGAACTGCCAAACATTGCTGGATTTCTTATGTGTTTTTAAAAGTCCTTTTTCGAGTAATTAGCTGTTAAAGGGCGCGGAGACTCTCTTGCTAGGGACTGGCACTCAGAGCACTTTATTAAAGGTTATTTCTGGAACAGTTGGAGGGTTACTGACCCCAGAAGCACACAGCATCACACTATCATTCATATACACTCTTAATTGAGAGGAGAGCATTTTGCAAAGATGCTGCTAAAAGAGGGTCCTTTGGGCTTGTGACGAAGCAGCCCCCATAATGGCCTGCTGCGTGAGCTCACCCGGCGCTGCTGCCCCGCATTCCCAGGGTGCATGTTCCGGGGAGGCTCAGTGCCCTCCTTGGTCTCCAAACACCTTTTCAATCTGGGGGTTGAACGGATTCTCCTTTCCCAGGATGTGGGGCCATCGGAGCTGCACTGTCTTCCAAAAGTGATCTGCCAACAGCACCGAAGCTGCCTGCAAAAACCCAGAAGAGGAGAAAAGGGAGATGACAAAAAATGCTTCCCCAGCCAGACTCGCTGTGTTCTCCCTGTGGGGAACAGCTCTGGGGTGGTCCCGTGGTTCCTACCTTCATGGTCCTTACAACCCCCCTCCCTTCCTGAAGAGCCTCTCCTTTGGTCTAACCGGTGGAGTCCAGCAGTGGCAGAAGGATGCCACTTCAGTGTTTAGTCACATTAAATAGGGCATGGCTTGGTAGCAGACTTGCTCAGTCTGGAGACTCTCATGGCTGGGCTGGTGAAGGAAGAGGCTGTGTTGGGAGGTCCCCAAGGCTGAGAGCTGTGGGTGCCCTCCAGCTGACATCCAATGAGAGTCCTGATCCTGAGTCCTGCAGCCTCATGGGCATGAACCTGCCAACAGCCAGAGTGCTCTGAAGGCAGTTCTTCCCCAGTGACTCTCCACATGAGGATGTGGCCTGGATGGCACACCTCGATGTTAGCTTTGTGAGACCCTAAGCCGAGGCCCCAGTTAAGCTGTGACCCACATAAACTGCGAGAAAATAAGTGTGTAATTTAAATGCTAAATTTATGGTGGCTCGTCACTTAGTTACAGATGAATACATTTCCTCAGACATCCTCTTACTTATCTGTGCACAGCCGCATTTACTGCTGGCCGCAGGCTTGGGTTTTGGAGATACACGTGGTAAGTCCTTCCTTAGAGGAACTCCCAGCCTATGAGGGACCCAGACATGTGAAGTGACACCACCAAGCCCACGGGGAGGGCTGTGAGAAGGACACTCATGCTGGAAAGGGAGGAGCTGCCGGTATATGGGACTGGTGCCTTACTCCTTTGAGCCACAGGCACCACCCAACCTAGCTCTTTCTTTTACATAATGAGTGGGCTGGAGAAAATGACCTAGGTCCTTTATGGATCTACATTGTGTGTAAGATTTTAGTAGCCGGCAAAACTAGAACTAGAATGATTTTGAAGTATTTCTTCTTTTTCTATTGTCTATAAGATTTGGCATGATCTGTTCCTTGAAATTATCTTTTATTTTTATTTATAAATATTAGTTGTCTATTTTTTGAGACTTTGGGAAAAAAATGATAAGAAGCTAATTGGTGACTCCATACTGAACCTTAGAGTCAAAGCATTCTATAATAGACAAACTCTTATTTGACAATGTGAATGGTACTTTCTTTGCATTATTATTATTATTGCTTAATACTTGGTTGCAGCAGTCATCTGATTTCTTTTCTGAATGTATTTATCTTCATTCATCCTTTATGAGGTTTTTGTTTCTAGTCCTTATCTTAAACATTGTTTATTGTTAAATTTTAATTAATTAAGTAATTTAATTCTGCGAAGGCAAAAAGTAGAAACCTAATAATCACATGTATACGTTAAAAAAAAAGAAAAAAAAAACTAGCACTGATCAAGTCACTGCATTAAATAGTCCTAGTATCTTAAGGTGTTCCTGAGCCTTCTGAGATATGCCCCGGATTCCATCCATCCGACTGTGGGATTGTCCCCCTCAACACCACTCACACAAAGACACACCACACATACCTCACCCACACAAACCACACACATGCACAGAAACCACAAACCACACATACAAACACATCATGTAACCCCTCGCTGCACTTTAAAGCAGGAGCCAGTCTTTTAAGCTAGAGGCTGTTTTTTTTCCTTACTATTTCTCAGCCAAGGAAGCTGCTATAGGTCTGTGGAAAATTACTGGTTCTTTTTTTTTGTTCATTTGTTTTACTGGCTTTCATCTGATACACCTAAGCTGTCTTTCTAACAACTATGCGGTACCCAGGCCTTTATTACACTATCTATGTTAATAAGGGAGGAGACAGGCATGAGATGAGGAGGGGAAAATGAAAAGGAAAGGGCTCAGATCTGAGCAGGTGGTAACTTTGGTTTGAAAGCAATTAGCTGGCTGTCACTCTAACAGAGATTAAAATCTTCATGAGTGTGCATTGCTGAAACATTGGTCTGAAATCCAATAGGCAAGGTTATCACTAAACTAGACACTTGCAATAAAATGATCTACTGTAATCATTCATTCGTTCTGTAAATATTTACTAGGCACCTACTGTGGGCTTCTCATACAGCAGTCTCCTGTCATGACTCCCGTGAGACACCCTGCACGGGACTGCAGCTATCCCGTACTCTCTTTATCCTAAAATTAGTTGGGTTTTGAACACAAATATTCTTTTGTGTGTCTCTACTCATAGTTAAAGGTATTGAAGCAAAACCTATTTATTCTAGAAAAATTGAGAAAGACAATCAAGCAAAAAGAGAAAATCAGAAAGAAGGTTATCAGTAATTATAGCAGAGGTAGCCTGGGTTAACACTGGGCACAGAGCCTGTCTGATTTCACCTCTGAATACACACACATACACACACATACACACACAAACACACGTGCAAACCAGACCCCTCTGAGAATATCATCTTATGATCTGCTCTTCTTGAGGTCTAATTTACACACAGGCAAATTAATTCTCTGTGGTAAACAGTTTTATGAGTGTTAACAAATGCATACAGTTGTGTCATCGCCCCTACAATCTGTCGTCTGCTCTTATTTACTTTCTTCTTATTGCAGCCATATTTCTGTGTCAATAAAGGTAGATCTGTATCAGTTTCTATTTGGTGCAGGTTGTACCATCAGACGGATGCAAGCTAATTCGTTTTATCAGTGGAAACTTTGGTCATAATGCCCCCCCCACCCCCAGTATGTCCTTTCGGACAAGGGATGGAGACATCCTCCTCTTGCCAGAGCATACAATATTCACAGCACATGAAATTAAATCTAGTCTAAAAAATGCTCTGGAGAAGGGCTGTTCTGGTTAACTGGAATCTTCTGGTTAACAGAGTTAGGCTGTCCTGGGTTTCTTCCTTTATAAACATCTTTCAGAGTCTACTTTCTTGCTTTCTTGCTAAGTTGCATATAAACATATTCAATTCATAACACCTGTTCTTAACCTGTGGGTCGTGACCCACAGGAACTATATTAAAGGGCTGTGGCATTAGGAAGGTTGAGAACCACTGCTTTATACAATTGCTTCACCTATTGCTGGGAAGTGTCTGAGCCACCCATTCTCCTGTTGGTTTGTGACCACCACAGAGAGTGCATGAGCTTGGGCAGAATCTCTGCGGACTCTGCATGTGCTTGAGTTTGATTTCTTGAGTGCAATCTCTGATAAGACCTTGCCTTGGGGTCTTTTCACTTTGAGACTGGTCCCTTAAGTTTTCTTTCCCCCTATTAGTTACATCAAGAGTTTTACACCTTATAGAAGGTCAAGTGAGAGGTGCTGATTTTTTGAAAAAATACACATTTTCCTTCCATTTTTCTCAGTCTATCTGGACTGGCCCCTTACCCATTGTCTACACTGCTACTGCAGATATCTTTTCAGAGCACAAGTCTGGCTGTTTCTTTCTTGCTTACAAACTTCCAGTGGTATCCATTCCCCTCAGGATGAGGGTGGAACCCGTGCAGACCTTGCCCTGTCTGGACCCTGAATACAGCAGTGGATTCCTCCTCCCAGCTCTGTTCATGCTCTAGTGAGGCCCTTTGAAGTCCTCCGATGTGCCATACTTTCTTTCATATTCAGGTCTTTCCTCTGCTCAACACACATGCTGCACTCCTCTGCTCCCCTTCACTCTTAGTTCTCACTTCACTTCTTCTGGAAAAACCTTTCCTAGCATCCCTCTCTCCCAGCCGCCCCATACGTTCCTGTGGACCATATTTTTCTTTGATCTCCTCTTTACTCCTTGTTCTCCTGCTCTGTATTGCACTTTTAAACAGCAGAGGTGGTTTCTTGTTCATGCTTGAGTTCTCGCATGCTCAACACTGGGTGGGCACTCAGTAAATCCATCTGGATGGCATGTTTCCGGTCTGGACTTCCCAGCACAACGCACACGATACACAGGCAAGCTCCAGGCATGGCTCTCCATAGCTGTGATCTTTGTCACCAGTGTGTAAACAGATCTTACAGGATTAGCCTAAGATTGGGGCACATGTTAATCTTCAGCTTTTGACTCTATTTTTCAATAAGCAGATATAGATGAAGTTCTTTGAGTATAAGATAGTCTCCAATTTGACAGACCTGAAACCCTAATATTATTTTGCGTCAGGGACAGGATAGTCATTCGATGGGTCAAATGTGTCCCAAGGAAAACAACAAAACTGTCTTTGACCCTCTTCTTGGTAGTTTCCAACTGACACCTTGCCTGACCCTATTTTCATAACCCCTGTCTCTACAGAATCAGAAGGCAAGATTGTGTTATGTGCAGAGAATGACGTGCCAACTACCTAATTATTGCCAGAAACAAGGACTGCACATTAACTCTTCCAAAACCAAAGATACCATTTTGGCAGGGGCAGACTCTGATGTTTAACTAACTTCTAACTGATAATTCTCGTTGATCATGTCATGCAACTGATGTACAGGAAGATTAGATATTCTGAGATGCATTACTCAAGAGTTTTTTGTGGCAATATAAACCAGTGAAGTGGACATTTATACTTGCTTTAAAATTAGCCCAGGATTTGTGAGACTCTGCTGTTTATGTTAGGGAGTAGTACCATTTTTTTCTTTTTCTTTTCTAGAAGATTCTTAGCCCTGCCCATGGGCACTCACTGAGCCCAGAACTCAGAGGGAAGGAGGTGTGTGGGCCTATTCAGGCTTATGAGGGGCTGACCAGCCCTCCTCATTACCCGGATGACCACTGAGACCCAGGCCACCAGGGACCAGAGTCCCCTCCCCAGAGTGCTTCTGAGGTTTGTAGCCTTGTCAGTCCCATATCACACACTCACCAGAGGCTGGGGCGGACACCTGCAGCCAGGAAGGGCCGCCTGAGAGCAAACAGCCCGTCCCTTCCCACAGAACCCAGCTTACAAAATTGTCAAAGTGGCTGAATCACTCCCTCATTTCTTCCTTCTTTTTCTTCTTTTTAATAAAGACATGTCATGAGCAAGTCCAGTACACAACAGATAAAAGTGGAGCTTCTCTGGTTGAAACCAGGATAATGGGATGGGGGTGGAGACGGGAGGGAGAGCGCTCACCCTCCAGCCCCCCACATGGAGTGAAGGGCAAGAGGAGCAGCTGCTTTACAGAACCGCACTCTGGAATCTTCCATGAGAAACACCTGGTAAAATAGGATTCTGCTGAGGACACAGCCCTTGGGAATTCTCATGCATCTCACTTCCAAGAATTCTTGTGATTTCCTTCCTTCCTTCCTCCCTTCCACTCTCCTTCCCTCCCTCCCTTCCTCCTCTCTTCCTTCTTTCCTTCCTTTCATGTGCTCTCAACTCACTTTACATTATTTTTTATCTTAAAGAGGCTATGACTTATGGCCCCTTTCATATCAGCTGCTAGGAAGCACAGAGCTGGTAGTGCAGTCCCCCTCTGGCAGTGTCCCAGGACTGTCCTACACATGTTTTATCACCTGTAGAAACTGTCAGGAATCTAAGTATAATTTTTACCTTATTTTCCTTCTGTCTTGATTTTTACTTCATTTTTATTAAATTTATCTTACACATGTTTGCACATTACCTCAAATCCTTTGTGGAAGAAACAGGATAAAAATAAACACATGAATGCGTGAGTATGGTAAAAAACAAACAGCCTTCAGCGGCACAGTGGCTGCACTCACCTCGTTGGGGTGGAATCCATCCACGGGTTCAATGAGCTGCCAGGGCTGCCCGCCTCTCTCCTGCCACTCCTGTATGACTGAGGGACACACAACCAGAAGGTTATAGACAACCAATGGTTGATGCCTGAGGGCAAGGACATGAGAAAGGTCATCGAGCTGCCCACTGCCCTCCCAGGCCCATGTTGACCTTGGCCCAGCTGTGGCTCCCTTTGAGTTGTTCTCTTGGGCTGGGGACTTTCTGAATAGAAGTGACTTCCCATTGTGTGTGTGTGTGTGTGTTTCCTAACTCAGGACGGGAATATGTGAGAGTGTCAGATGAATGTGGTTTGTGCACCAGGGAGGCCACTGGGAAAAGGTGAGTTCTAAAGTATTCAACACCGAGTTGAATACATCTCACTTTTCAGTGGAGAGATAGGACAGTATTGCAGGAGGGGCAATCAAACATTTTGTTACCATCTCCTTTGATGCTTTGCCATTTATAGACACTGCCTGCACGTGTCAAGCACCCACCTTTAAAAATCATGCTGTACCTTGGGAATATAATTGCATAAAATTATCTCAGCATCATATTTAGAGACAGCATGGCTGCAGAGAGAACATTATGAGCCCAGGAGTGATGAGAAGCTATAAAACTGTCCTTCAACATGGGGTGAGAGACCAAGAATGTCAGTTGCTCCAAGGAAACAGTACAATTAACACTAGGTTATTCCATCGCACAGTTGATAAGAACTCTTCAAGCAAGTTTCCAGTCCCCAGAGAGCCTCCCTGGAAGCATGAGACGGCTGCTCCTGTGTAGCTCCAGCAAGGGGGCAGGCATGACTCAGGCTCTTTCAGTTCTTTTCTCGTCACGGCTTGGAAAACTCAAGGACAGAAGTTTGTGCCCTTTGTCTCTCCTTCTCATCCCAAAGGAAGGATGGAGATTCCATCAGGGGCTTTGATTGGACAAGAGGCACTGGACTTCCCAGGGCTGAATCAATACAATACTGTTTTTTGAGTTAGTCTGAACATCCCCATGTGCCATTGTTACTTATGCCCCAACCCCTGTCCCTGAGGGCTACAAGTAATGCTGCCTTTCTCAAAGCTCAGGAGAAAATGCTGGTGGTGTGGAATACTACACACTGAACCACCAGTCCCTGTTAGCTCATCCCTGGCAGAATGACTGCCCCAAATCTCTCTTTGGTATTATGCTTCTGGGTTTTATCGGAGGTTGTTAGAGGCAGCGGCTTTTGGTAAATGGCCTTTGCATAACTTGAAAACTCAAATTGAGGACATTATCCACTATGTGCTGTGGTGTCCCCCACATGGAATCTCAAGGGAGAAGTTGCTTTGGGCTGGTGAGGGAATGGTTTGTTGCTGCTTCTCCGGTAAGAAGCTGCATGGAGGGATGAAACACACTCTTGTGAAGGCTCATTTGTCCTGCCGAACCAGCATGCAGCCCTCAACAAGTTCTGTCCTGCCCTTGGCTACAGTGTCCTATATAAGCAGAGCCTTGGGAACTTGTTCTGCTCAGTCTCCAGCTTGCCTGGCTCAGTCTTCAGCTTGTCTGGGCTTCTCTGCTTGTTTTGGGGGGCAGGCCTCCACAATCCAATCTTCTACTTCAGTCTCACTTTTGACTGCTCCTCTTATCCCTCTAGACTGGATGCACTGAGCTCTGTGGGTCCTAGCCTGGCCTCCTGGCCGCCATGCTGGCTCTGCCCACTCTCTGACACTGTTGAGCCCATTTCTCCTGCTTCTTTCAGGCTCTTTGTTTTCCCCTGCCCCAGAAGAACAGGCTAGTTTCTCCCTCCTGTTTTGGCTCCTGATTTTCTGTTTTCTAACTCTGTGCTGATTTTCTAGCCAAGCCACCTCTGATCCAAACATCCAACACATTGCCCTTAGTGTAGAACCAGGCATTTGGGAATTTCTTCAAATGCAGAGCCAGGATCATCCCTACTGACCCTCCTCAGTTCACTTTGTCCTTTCATGGGATTCGTCTCAGCTCTTCTTGCGATCTCATGGGAGTTTCCAACACAAAACCCAGCAGACACAGGAAGACCCAGTCCAGGCGAGGCCTCGGACTCCCAGGCCCCTTTGCGACATTGGAGTTCACATCACTCCTGTTTTAATTGTGCTCATTTTTACTTCACCAGAGTTCTCAGTGAATGTTTGACCCTTTTCCCATGTCTTCATTTATTTTTAGTTTGGTTTCATTTTATGCTGTATAAATATTAACAGGAAAACAAAAGAAAAGAATGAAAGAAAATCCTAACACAGTGTTGTATGGACTGAATGTGTTCTCCCCAAATTTAAATGTAGACCTCCTAACCCCCAATGTGATGGTATTAAGAAGCCAGGCCTCTGGGGGTGGTGAGGCTACGAGGATGGAGGTCTCAGGAAGGGCTTAATGCCCTTATGAAAGGGACCCTGGAGAACTCTCTCACTGTTTTTCCCACCACATGAGGATACGAGAAGTTGGCAGTCTTCAACTCACAAGGGGGCCCTCACTAGAGCCCAGCTGTGCTGGCAGCCTGATTTTGAATTTTCAGCATCCAGACTGTAAGAGAAATTACTGTTGTTTATTAGTCACCAGTTTGTTACTCCATTATAGCAGCCTGAATTAAGAGGTGTTGAGAAATTCCCAGGCGTGTTAATAAGATTGGGCCAATGGGAATTGAGCCCAGTGAAGACCTCAGACAGAGCCTGCTAAGAAGATGCAAAACGTTGGATGACTAAGACATGAGGCAGAGGTCTCTCTCCTTATAAAAAGAGAACTACATCCATATGTTCACCACAGTACAATTCACAATCACAAAGACGTGAAATCAACCCAAGTACCCATCAATTCATGAGTGGATTTAAAAAATGTGGTATATGTATATATACACTGTGGAGTATTACTCAGCCATAAACAGTAATGAAATAATGTTTTTTGCAGAAACTTGGATGAAATTAGAGAAGGCTATCCTAAATGAAGTATCTCAGGATGAAAAAATAAACACTACTTTACTCACTGAGAACTGGGAGCTAATCAGCTGGCACATACTTTCACCAAGAGATGTAAAGGTCACAGGAAATCAAAAAGGTCTCGAGGGGAGAAGGGGAGTAAAAATTAACTATTGGGCACAATGAACACTATTTGGGTGATGGTCACACTAACTGTCCTGACTTAAACATTATAAAAAGTATCCATACAACAAAAACATTTGTATCTGCTTAATATTTTGAAATAAAAACAAACAAAACCCTCAAATCTTAAACTTTCTGAGTGCCAACATGGCACTCAAAGGAAATGCTCATTGGGGCATTCCAGATTTTCAGATTTGGGATGCACAACTAGGAAGTGTATTTTTTTTTTAACAAAGACTCTCACTATGTCACCCTCGGTAGAGCGCCATGGCATCACAGGTCATAGCAACCTCAAACTCGTGGGTGTAAGCGATTCTCCTGCCTCAGCCTCCCAAGTAGCTGGGACTACAACCGCCTGCCACAATTTTTTTTTTTTTGTTGTTGCTGCAGTTGTCATTGTTTTTTAGCTGGCCCGGGCTGGGTTCCAACCTATCAGCTTCAGTGTATGTGGCTGGCACTGAAACTACTGTGCTACGGGCACTGAGATGGTAAGTGTATTTTTAATGTAATGCAAATATTCCAAAATTCAACAAATAAATAAATAAAAACGTCATAAATCTGAAACACTTCTGGTCTCTAGCATTTCAGATAAGGATACTCAACCCGTAGTATATTTTCAAAACAAAAAGAGATGGAGACCTGGAGACTTGGAGACCTGGAGCAATCCCATAATTGTGTGGATTATGAAAGGAAAACTCAGGAACAAAAGCATAAAGAGATGGGGTGCTCACTTGCTGGGTTTGCAAGGAAACAAGAATACCCAAGGGTGGGGGAGGGGCAGCGGGAAAGGCCCAATTTTATTATCACCATGCTCCAGCAATTCTAAATGATGTCAAAGATAACATATTCTTCCCTGCCAGGAAACTCATCCCCCCAGCACTCTTTTCTCCCCTATATTAGTAGGCTACTCCAGGGTAGTCCAGCCTTTAAAACTGGCTTGCCACATAAAATAATACAATAGGTGTTAAAAGAAAATGCTCCAAGGTTACCAAGGCTACAATCTGTTTACAGCGGAAAAACATCATTATTTTCTCACATGATTATTGTGTCTGTGAGAGCTACTGGTCATCACATACACAAGGTTGAACAATTAAGTTTGTGAACTCATCTTAGAAAAAGTGCTCTGAAGGGTGGACTAGGCACCGGTGCGGATGCCTGGCTTCCCGAGGGGAGTACTTCAAAGGTGACTGTAATGATATTCAGCCATGAGGGGTGTAGACGGGTACGTCAGGATGGTAAAGCATAAAAGTAACTTCAATAAGTGCCTGGCAAGAGTTTAAGGTTTTATCTGTATTGTGACTAATGAGAGACAGAAAGACTCTGTTTTTGTTTATCTCAGGATGAAATTCTGTTTTTTCAGGAGAAATGCAATACTAGACACTGGTCATTATTTTTCCCTTGGTTGATTTCAGAGTGGGAGGTCCAATCAAGGGTAACATGGTAAGTTGATCAGTTTCCTTTCCAACTGGGGCCATAGCTCAAAACAGGCAAACAAATCCCTGTTTGATTTCAGAAAGCTGGGATTAAATTTCTTGAGTGATCATAGACATTCTGTTGGGATTTTGTGCATAACATCTGTTCTTTTCTTTTTGAAAATGTATTTTCTTTATCAGTAAAGTGAAAGAAACTCTGTTAATGACCAGCTTTTTAAAGATGCTGATAGGAACAGCAGAGAGAGACTCATAAAATACCAGGGAGCTCTTTGATGAATAGCAGCTTAGCAGGTATGTATTTTAAAATGAAACCTGCATTGTTCTCAGCACCATGAAGTCCTTGGCTGTCTTTACAAATCTATACATGGTGTGGGGGGAACCTAAGAGCAGATTTACTCCAATTGAGCTGTCTCGGAAGCTGAGGGCAGCTGGAAGTGTATTTAAACTGTCAGTGTAAAAATGGCTTCGTCAGCCAAGTGGCATTTTCTTTCCTCTGTTGGAGAGGTGTGGTGCAGACAAAGAGAAAGAGTATCACCTGCTCAAGTTGGCATTTCCTGAAGGGAGGAGAAATTGCTGCCTCTGTTTGGTTCATAACCAGTTGAAGAATGAGTCAGCAACAGACAGGCAGAGTCTTTGGAGGTGAGCAGTCATCTTTCGGTGGTTGATTGAGGCTGTCAGAGTGGAGGACAGATAGGTCTCATGCATACCCTCCACTGACAGCTATCCTCGACTGCAATTTGCTCTGTCACAAGGACATGAAATTGTGAATTTCAGTATTGTGAAAAATGAGGATATTTGTGATGCCATAGTCAGCCCCAATACCATACTGAATTGAGAGCTTTTCAAGGGACGGCTATTCGGACTGCAAATTTAATAAGTGATTCTAAGGGGTTTTTATTCCACATAGAAAGGGATCGCTTTCTCCTTTGCCAATGAGCTGCATTTCTACTACTTCGTCAAAGTACTCCTCAGGCCTGACTGGCTGGGGCTGGGAGATGGGTTGGCCATCGGAAGTGTAGAAGTCACCTCCCACATTGAGGATGGTTCGGGGGGTGGGGGGGGGATGCCCACTAACAGTTATTTAGTCCCTCCTGTTTGACAAGCTTTGTTTCACTTAATCCTTGCATAAATCCCCTATATATAAAGAAACAAAGATGAGAGGTTATTTATTTTCTTGAGATCACACAGCTATCTGAGTTGGAGTAGGAGCACAGTTGCTGTCCAGGAGTCATAGGAGGTTACCCATAGAAATAGACCTGGGGGTACATAATCCCTTCACCTACCCTGGAAAAAGTTAAAATTTCAAGTTAAAAATCTTCTTTGCAGCTCGGTGCCCATAGCACACTGGTTACGGTGCCAGTCATATGCACCCAGGCTGGCAGGTTCGAGCCCGGCCCCGGGCCAGCTAACCAACAATGACAACTGTAACCAAAAAATAGCTGGGCATTGTGATGGGCGCCTGTAATCCCAGCTACTTGGGAGGCTGAGGCAAGAGATTCTCTTAAGCCCAAGAATTTGAAGTTGCTGTGAGCTGTGACACCACAGCACGCTACTGAGGGCAACATAGTGAGACTCTGTTAAAAAAAAAAAATCTTTTTTGCAGTAGTCCAACTTTGGATACAGGTTAAGAGGTTATCATGGTTTGGAAATCCAGATTGAAATCCCAGCTCTTTTGGAAGTGAGCCTGGTGGTGCCTGGACATCACCAGTGCAGGGTGCTGTGTGAGACGTTGGTGCGGGCAGGGCCCGGACACTGTTCCTCTGCCTCCACACTCCCTGTCACTCACCGTGTCCATACACCTTCCCTTGTGGGGTGCCCACTAACTTCCCACAGAGAACTCCTTGCACCAAAACTGGATCTTCAAGTTTATTTTAAGCAAATGGCAGAAAATTACAAAATAAGAAATCCCTTAAACTGTGGATGGGTATTTCCAAGGAAGGAGAGCTACCTGGGAGGTTTTTGCAAAGTTGGTGTAGAATGTTTAGTTCAATTTGCCTGAACTTTTTGCCTTTTAACTTCTCATTTATTGTTGCCAGGAGGACAAGAAAGGGTCATGAGTCCCTGCTTCCAAGCATATTAGCTGACCAGTGGAACGCTGGCCAGTATGGGTCAGGTATAAAACTCTTCTCTCCATCAAGTTAAGGACTCCTTCTTTGCACTGTAATTACACTCCCAGCACCTGCACGGCTCATGACACGGAGCAGGATTTAGTAAAAATCTGATAAATGACTGACCCTGCTCAGTCTTGGAGAATTATAGAGCTCCTTCTATTAAAATTCAGTAGGCATAGAGACGACCTGTGGTTGTGTTAACATGCAGATCGTGAGTGGAGCCTGGGCTTCTGCATTAATGACTTGACCCTGGACAGTGTTGACTTTGCTTCTTCAGAACCACACACTGAGTAGCAAGGGTACAAGGCAGTGGTCCCCTTTTCTGGGTACTAGTTCACAAGGTATAGCATTTAGGAGCAAGACGCATTCCTTCATAGAATCATCACAAAGATTTGCCAGGTACATGGGATACACCCATTTCCAGGTCTAGAAAGGGGAGTTTAGAAATGTCCAGAGACTTGCCAACAGTCCCAGAGATAACAAATGACAGAGCTAGAGATTATTCTGGAAAATAAAACAGCCCCCTGTGCATATTAGACATTGTTATATTTTTAATAACTTTATCTATATTCAGGGTTGATGATGATCGAAGATCACTCGGTGGTACATTTGTTTATACCGGGCATTCTTTAATGAATCTTTAACTCTGCATTTTAATGAGAGGTTATTTATCAAAATGTCTCTTGCCATGAGAGAAATGTGTATCACCTAGGCAGGAAATCTAGTTAAGGGAGATCAGTCTTGTTGAAAAGATGTTCAGAATTGAACTCCTAGAGTCCATGATGCACAATGTGTCGGCTAATGTAATATTTGATAATTCATGATGGCCATCTGCTCCATCCCAGATGCTTGAGCCAGGGGAGCTGGTGGGGTGGGTGGGCTAGAGATGATGAACTCTGGATGAGAAATTGTCTAGTCTTCACCTGCACTGTTTTCATTAGCTTTTCATTAGCTTCATCTCAGCTGGCAATCAACAGAGGCTTTCCTCGTGTATAAAAACTGCTTAGCAATGAAAATGAATCTGGAAAGATTATAGTCAACAAAAACAACTTTTCAGAGTCGGGATGTAAAGAATAAATGAGTGGCTCTGGTAATCATGAGTGGTTTTGTGTGGTCTCTCAATAGTGACTCCGGTGTTTGGACAGAATGCTAGAAAAGAAACTCAGTAATATTCTTTTTAGAAAGCTGGGGCATGGGTTGTTCACTTTGTCACAGGCAGGGCCTTTGGTCCCTGCCCTAGAGATTGGGATTGGGCCCATTTTGTATGGAGTCTGGGAATCTGCAGTGCTACTGAGTCCCTGTGTAATTCAGTGCCCACTATGAGAGAGACCCCCTTCTCCCTCATTTCTGTTACATCCTTCTTTACCCCTTAGGTAAGCAGGGTGTTGCTAACCTGGCTAGAACAAGTTAAAGATTCTATTAGCCTGCAGGTTCCTGGACCAAAGCCCTTCCCAAATGGTCACTGGTCTATCTTTGCAGCGATTCTAAAATGTCAGTCAAGTAAGGAGATGATGCTGAGCCCCAGCCTTCTCAGATAGAGTCACACGGTCCTTTTATTTCCACCCTGAAAGCTAGTCGGGCGTCAGAGCAGGCTGGAGTGACCCTGCCCAACCTGCAGCCTGCTGGCTCATGAACCCATTACCCAGGCAGGCTCTAAATGGTAGCTGCTGCTTTATTGTTTGTCATTAACTCTAAACCAAGCCACTTACTTTCATGGAAGGCAAAATCCATGTAGAAAAGATCGAAGTTCGTAAATTTCTCGCTGGTTGCAATTTTTTTCAATGTGTTGGAGAGTTGTTCCGCTCTCTGAGTACAAGGAAAACAGGGAGAATTCCATGAAACCTCGACTTTGACTTTAGAGAGAGAATTCAGGCAGAACAAATCAATCAATCAATAAATCTTCCCCACCCTACTCCAAATTCATTTCTCCAAGCCCTCGGCAGGGAGCAGCTCTGCACATTAAGTTATATTCAGTTTTCATATGTTTATTGGCCATTTCTCTCTCTTCTTTTGAAAAGCTTCTGTTTATGGCTTTTGCCCACTTTTTAATAGGGTGGTTTGTTTTTTTCTTCCTAATTTGCTTAAGTTCTTTGCAGATTCTGCATACTATGTAATAGCCCTTCATGAGATACATAGCCTGAGAACATTTTTTCTCACTCTATAGGTTGTCTATTCACTCTGCTGATTATTTCCTTTGCAGTGCAGAAGATTTTTAGTTTAATCAAATCTCATTTATTTATTTATGTTGTTGCTGTATAGCTGTGACTCAAGTGTTAAAAAGGTGATCGATGTAACCCAAAACATTTGTATCCCCTTAATACCTTGAAATAAAAAAAGTTCTATTCATGCACAAATGGTGAAAGAACATACGGTAAATGGTAAAGTTCATCAGGAATCAAAGCACTGCAAATTAAAGCAACGAGATAGTACTTTTCCACTCTTGGGTTTGGCAAGATGATAGGGTAGAGATAATGATGATATCAGATGTTATGGATGGGAGAATGAGAATGTCATTAGTTTAACCTGTCTAGAGAGCAATTTGGCAATATGAACCAAATCTTAAAACACAGGCATGCCCTTTGATCCAATAATTTTTCTAGGAATTTTTCATGGAAATAGAGATGCACACAAAAACACACATCTCTAAATATATGGGTCTTCATCACCTTTTAATGCTATTTATCATGGTGAAAAATTGGAAACAACCTCTACATCCAACACCAAAGGATGAAATGAATCAGACCGGGTATGCTTTAAAATGGTTACAACATCGTGACGTTGAGAGATAATTTGTGGACATTGAAAGGTGCAAAAGGGTGCATCCTCATACTGTGTAGGCAAAAATCAAATATTTGTGGAAATGTTAATGGAAAGCTATACACACATTCTGACTTTGGGTGGTGGAATTTGGGGTGATTTTTATTATTGTTTTTGGGCTTTTTGTGTTCCCCAAGTTTTTTAAAATTGAAATATACTTTTCTAAAAAAATAATCAATACATCTTTTATAAAGAGATTACTTGCCATCTGTGAAAGGAATGCAGGCCATTTGTTTGAGCAATGGATTTCCGCAGAGAAGGGAGGAAGGTCCTTATTTACCTGCAAGGAGCTCCAGCCCTATGAGGGCTCACCTCACTCTGCTCTCTCCACCGCTACAGCCATGCTTAGGATGATGACCCTTAAAAGTTGTGTGTGGGTGGGTATACACACGTGTGCACACAGGAGAGAGACATGCACACACAGATACAGACAGTGACTGAGAGATACGGGGAAAGGGACAGGGAGGCAGAGGAGGCAGGGCATATACATCTGGGCCCCTCAAGCAACCTGGCAGTTTGGTTTTGTTATTCACCAGCTCGGCACCCCTCCCCCTGGCAGAATCCCATTCCGAGTGAAAACTCTGCAATAAGCACAGGGAAAGAATGATCAAAGTTGTCATTAAAGGCCTGTGACAGTCCTACCTCTGAAGTGAGAGTCCGCAGCGTCTTGTTGGAAGACATCCAGCCGTGGCAGGGGCTGACCTGAGATGAGGAAAACACTTTGATCAAAGAGCAGCAGGGCTGGGGGTCCGGGCCTGGGAGTGAGTTGGTGAGGGCTCACCTGGAGGCAGTTCAGGAAGGAGTACATCTGCGCATAGGTCACGTCTTTATTCAGCTGGCCTGGAAAACAGAGGGGTCTGGTATGTCACGTGCACTCAGCTACAGCAACATTTAGGGACACTCAGGGTGACCTTGCCTCCCTTCCAGGGGTTGCCCTGATTTGTCATTCAGCGTTGCTCTCAAGAAAGGCCTCTGCTTTCCTCCTTTCAGAGTGCCTAGAAATTCAGACCAGGGTTAGGGAGGGGCCCTCAGGAGTTTAGTCCCAGGTAGAGCCCTGGCGTGGGCTAGGACAGGGCCAGAGGAGCTGGCTTCATCTGGACTCCAGGCAAAAGGAGTGCAGGTATCCCATGGCGCGAAATGGACCAGAATGCTGTGAACAGAGCACTTTGCTGTGGCTTTCTCCTGGCAGTGGTCTGAATTGCCAAGTTCCTGAGGCTCACACGGAGCATTCCAGGTGGCAGTTCACCAAACCCTCCTTTCCAAGTTTATGAAACACCCAGGTCTGACCCAGTTGTCTCATGCTGAGGACCTGGCAGGACTTTCTAAGTATCTAAAGCTCTGATCATGCAGTGCCCTCAAGTTTGGGGAACTGATGGCCTCCAAGAATACATGGGGGGCCCTGGGGGTGGGGTAAGCTTGTACATTATGTCTCCCTTCCTGCTACTGGATTAAGGGGTGCCCAGTGGTTATCTTATTTGAGTCCTAATTAGTAGATGAGTCCCACGCTTGGTTTTGGGGCCAGTTATAGAGGTACAGAAGAATGAAGAGGAATGTACCACATGGGGTGCCATCCAGTCCTTCCCGACCTCAGCTATACACTCAGAATCTGTGGGGATTATTCTCTCTCCCTCCCCGCCTCCTCCAGCGTATCCACCCTCAGAGCCAACCTAGGTCCCCCCAAATCTCAGATTTGAATGACTGAGGCTGTGGCCATTAACACTTTTCACACTCCAAAAAAATAAAGGAAGATAATAGGAACACTCTCAGAGTGAAGAGAAAGATTGAAGGTGATGGGACACAATCTTATTTTTCAGTTAGACCGAAAGATAGATTCAATTTTCTTGTTATAGAGGAAAAATATATTATCTACCCGTATGGGTGAGTGACTCCCAGGACTGGAAAGCCACAGGCTCATTACGGCCGTCGGCATCACAGTGACCCCCCAAGGCTGTCTTCCACACAGGCCTCTGCGGCTTCACGTTTTAGATGAATCCTGAGCCCCTCTTTGCTGTTCTGCTCGGGCCCATCACGGAGCCCTGCGTGCCACCTTCCCCCAGGACTGTGCTCCCACCCACTAAGGCTTCTTTCCCTCTATTTTTTTTGTTTGTTTGTTTTTCTTTGCTTTTGTAATTTCCTTTCTTCCTGAATATGTTTCTGCCTGTGTCCAGCCCACTGCAGTGATGGACACAGTCAATCTCCACTGCCCAGCCTGGCTCCTCCATGCGTCTGTGTGCCTTAGCTCCTTCCCACTAGGGGGCCTGTCACTGAGCCACCGGGTTGCAGCCTTCCCCCTGCCTGCACCCTGGGAGGATCCAGCTGGCCTTTCCTTGGTGCCTGGTGGCCACATTGCTTCCTCGCTGGAACTGGAACTTTATAATGGAATTGAGGTAGCATGTCTGGGGCCCTGCTGCCCAGCTGGGCCCAAGATGTCCCCTCACCCTGACAGGTGGCCTCTTTCTCTTTACCCTGCTCAGTGGCTATGGTCTCTTCAATCTGAAAGGAGGTGGCCCCTCATGTCTGACCACGAGCAGCGCTCTGGCACCCTCCCCTCCCCACCTTCCTGCCTGGATTGCTTTGCTGTCCAGAGGGGCTGGAGTTTGCCCCATGTAAGAAATGGCTCCTCCGTGGGGTTGAAGCCCATCTCAGCCTCTGTCCATCCTGCCTTACTCCCGCTTCCTGCTGGCCTCCTGCTCGGTCTGTCGTACCTCAGAAGGAGGCCATGAGGTGCCTCCTCCTTCCAGACCTTCTCCAATCCCTCTCCCTGTTCTCTCCATCTCTGCCATTCTGGCACCGGCTCCAATGGGCCCTGCTGGTAAAGGGAAAATCTGTAGTGTGAGTAGCTAGGTGTGCCGAACAGGGTGTGGGCACGTGAGGTGCAGTTAGAAGGTAACTGGGAAAGGTGTAATGAGATGGTCTCCCTTCTCTCTGCTCTTTCTGCCTGTTAGAGAGAGGGTGGCCCTGGTCACATGGAGGACTGTCAGGTGTGCTCGTGACGGTGGTCACATGGAGGACTGTCAGGTGTGCTCATGACAGGCTTATGGTGTAAGGAAAGGAGGAGAGAAAGTGTTTCTTAGGCCTTTTCCCCTTCTTGGCACTCTCAGTTGGCCACTCACTTTTTCTTTTTTAGGCATTACCTTTCAATCGCTATTTCTTTATGTAATGTTTTCACACTGAGGAGTCCTGGTATAAAGATCCCAGCTATATGGGGGACATGCAAACAGGTTGTGTCTGTAACTCCCTGGGCAGAAAGTTAATCTGGTTAAGAAAGCTGATCAAGAATGCCCAGGGTGGTCGGCCTCTGTGGCTCAGTGGGGAGGGCACTGGCCCCATATACTGAGGGTGGTGGCTTTGAACCCGGCCCCAGCCAAACTGCAACAAAAACATAGCTGGGCATTGTGGCAGGTGCCTGTAGTCCAAGCTACTTGGGAGGCTGAGGCAAAAGAATCGCCTAAGCCCAGAAGTTGGAGGTTGCTGTGAGCTGTGACACCACGGCACTCTACCGAGGGCAATAAAGTGAAGAATGCCCAGGGGCAGGTTGAGGGACTGTCCCATGGTGGTCAGGAATTGTCAGAGACCAAGGAACCACGGGTGTATGTGCACACATGTGTATGTGTGTGTGTGTGTGTACTTGGGAGTCAGTGGGCTGACCCGGTAGATGTCATAAACTCTGCCGATTAAAGGTCACTTTTCTCCCAGCCGGCTAGAGTGGCAGTTTGTGTCTCAGGAATCTGTAAGTTCTTTAGGGTCTTTGGTACTTATTTTATTTGGGGAAGACAATTGAAATCTTAGGCACCATAAAAGCTCAGTACCAACAAATCAGTGACACTTCCATGAAATACTATCTGAATGTATTAAAACCACATAAATTCAGATGAAGAGAAAGCCAGTAATAGGATATAAACTACGAGGTATTTTAAAAAGACATTTGGTTTTGAGAGTAATTGGGGCAAAATTAAGTTGCTGCTGTTGTTGGTTTGCTGAAGGGCCCTCAAAGAAGGCCACTTGCAATCTCATTTATATCCACAATCTCTGGCCTCTTCACCACAGTCTAACCCTCTGGACAGCTCCCACAGTGACCAGGGCTTGTGTCCCTGTCATGACCACTTGTCAGGCTCTCTGTGCCATTTTCTCCTATGGAGTTGGCTTTTATCTTTTATTCGAGGAGAAGGACTCCACCTTATGTCATCTTTACCCAGAAGCAGAAAACAGGTATTTTCAACATATTTCTGCAATGACCACCTTCCTCACAGACTGCGGCTGAGAGGACTCATGATTGGCCAAGCTCGACTTTTCTCAAAAGATCTATGTAAGCAGAATCCTAATGCATGAGGCTCTCTGGTAATTTCCTCACAAAGACAATAAGCTCTCCCCAGGAGAGATTTTGGGGTGTTCCAGCCCTTGGTAGCCAGTCACTGATTGGGTGATGATTCACAAACACAGCTGAAGAGGAGAGAGGTGCCAGAAAGGGAGTGGTTCCCGACTCCCGACTCTCAGTCAGGAATGAGGCGGGCACCTGGGCTTCCATTATCTGCTGGTTTCATGCTGTGGCATTAACCTTCCTAAGCAGAATGGTCAGGCTGACTCCCTGCCTGTCCTGCTGAGAGGCAAAGGAGGCAGCAGAGTATCACCAGACAGGGGCTCCCTTCAACACCTCTGCTCCTGGAACTCTTTCCTAGTCTTTAAGAGGGGCCACAGTCAAGTCATCTAAGCTCAGATGCAGAAGTACATGGCGCCCTCCTGGCGCCCTTACTGTTTCCTTTACTGGCATAACCCTCAGCAAGGTGTCCTGGGAGTCAGACTCGAGTGTTTGGCTATTGACTAAGATGAGATATGCTCTAACCTCCGCAGAGCAACCAAACCCTTGAGGCTGGTCCAGCACTGACCTTGCTTCACTGCTGGTTCATGTCTGGTGGGAATGAAGATGCAAAGATGGGGTTGGGAATGGGGGTTGGAAGAGAGAAAGCAAGAGGCAGTGGCCCCCTCTCCAAGTCTCTCCTTTTATGTGAGTCGTGAGTCCTGCCAAAGGAGAAACAGGGAAGGTGGAAAAATCCCACCCACATCCCAGTCTTTCTAGGAAGGACCCTGATGCTTCATTGAGAAATTTATAATTTTTTCCCCATGGCAACCAAGCAGCAGGGATAATTTCGGATGTGAATAATTACTTTAAAAACAAATTTAAGATGGTTTCAATTTTCTCTCAGATTGGATTTTTTTCAAAACTAGGGTTGTTTATATAAAACAAACTTATTCCACCTTCACCTTCCTCCTCTTTCATGCTGTTAAATGCTGGTGTGAAGTTAGTGGCTCAAGAAAGGCCACTTGGGGAGGACAAGGTGAAGTCTAGACTGGAGTTTCTCAATCCTGGCACTACGGGCATTCTTGATTATGGGGCTGTCCTGTGTATCAAAGTCAAGGTCATGTCCCTGATGGTGTGACAAAGTAAATTGGGAGCACACTTCTCCTGCCTCCAACTTTCCCCAAGCATTTCTTAGCATGGGAGAAATTTAGCAATCTGGAAGAATCTGTTGGGGGCAGATGTACAATTTTCACATCCAATGGCTCAAAGAGAGATTCTTAGCCCAAGTTGTCTCTTATGCATGCAAGGCAGCTCAGAATGGAGTGCAGCTCTCTTGTGTGTGATCATATGATGATTTCTGAGGGGCACAGGCAAGCCTGCATGAATGGGAAGAATGTGCTTTTCTTGGGTGAGGCTGGACAGCGTTTCGCTTGGGTAACAATATTTGTGCTAGGTTTTGATAACTCAAGAAAAAAATGACTTCAGCTTCATTGATGGGAAGCCTGGGTATCTACCAACATCCCCCTGGTGAAGAGACCAGAGCCCTCAGAGAGCTGGTTGAAGGCCCCCTACTCTTTTCTCATGTGGGAAAGGGTGGATTTTCTCAGGGAGAAGATAGGGGTTGGGTGCAGGACTGCAGGAGGAAGACAAGAGAAATTTTAAGAAGTTATTTGTGCAAGGGAAAGCTCTTGATTGTCTTGAGTGTGACATCTTGCTCTCTACCTGCACCCTCTAAGGAATGAATTTTGGGTCTTCCCCTTTGAATTTCTAACCTGACTCCTAAGAAGGTGGTTGGCTATCCAGCACATTTTAGCTTGGGTTTATCTTAGGAGGTGGTAGAGGAATTCCAGGGAAGGGGAAGCTCCTTCTTCAGGTCTGACTGACACAGGTACCATCAGCATGGGGCTGAGGCCTAAGACCCAAGTTGAGCACTCCCTGTTCCCCTTCTCTGCCCAGTTTTCCTCCTGTGACACTTATTACCTTCGGACATACTTTTGAGTCTCCCTCCCACTGGAATATAAACTTTATGTAGACAGGAATTTAGGGCTATTGTGTTCACTGCTGTTTTTCCTGTACCTAGAACAGTGCCCAGCATATAGCAAACACTAAATAAACATATTCTCCCCTGAAACACAGAGAACAGAGCCCCACTTCACCCAGGGTGAGTGCACAATGAGCAAGGCACCATTTGGCCAGCTTCCTTAACCTGAGTCTTACCTTTCTTGTCTATAAAACAGAATTACCATAGTTAATGAAGACCTCTCAGTTCCAAGGACCAGCACGGCAGTCCTTCCTAATGTGAATAATTGCCACTTTTACATTGTTTGTACCATATCTGGAATGTTAGAACCATTGTTAGAAGTTTCTGGGGGAACTTTAATGCCTTCCAGAGCAAGGGTCCCCAAGACTGTAGAAGCAGAAAGTGAGCAGGCTGGAGGCTGTGTTCTAGAGAATTCTGACTACCCAGGTGGCTTCTCGCTGTTGAGACTTGGAGAAACCCCTCTCTTTGATTCAGGCTTCCTGTTTCCCATTTGGGTTTTCTGAGCTCATTCTGCATTTCACCTTCTGTTGCAGGAGTCTCCTGATTTATTCTCTTATCTTTCAGTTTTTTCTAATTCTTAATTAAATATTACTGCCCTTTCTGGCTTTGGAGCCAATTCTGCCAACCTCTGAATAATGACGTTTAGATACAACACCTGATACTTGCCTTCATCTTCTTTGCCCATGTTCTGTGACAGCATTTTAGGCATATTTCTACTTGGTTAGAACTATATACACATTGAACTAAATACATACTGACATTGTTAAAGAGTAAAATATCTTCAAACTGATACCGAGAGGGTGATATCTGTTGTGCAAATTATCCCAGAGAAAGGTTCCATCTGGTAAGCCGTAAAAAATAACATGGCTGCCATTGGGCAGGTGGGCATTGAGGTACTTCAGAGTCTGCATGACATTGGAGTACAATTTCTCAGGAGTGGTCATTTCTGGAACTGGGTCAGCTTTCCTGTTGGGGGAAGAAACAGAAAATATCTTAGGTGATTATAAAGATAGATACATGCAGTTGCATACAAATATAAGATACAGCCTCTACACGCATACACATCCAGGGACAATGTGGTGGTTATTGGCGTTACTTGTAAAATATTCCTGGCTTTCCACCTTTCTGGCACATGGTCAAATTGTACTTCCAAACTCCTTTGCAGTTGGGTGGACCATGTGACTGGTTTTGACCAATGAGTTGTGAGCAGAAGTGACATGTGTTATGTCTGGTGGTGACAAAACCTCTAGCATGTTCTTTTTCTTTGCCATGGGCACAGAAAGTATTCTAGATGGCTGCTTCATTAATCTGAACTGGAACATAGTGCTATGGTGATCCTTGGTGGACAAGTAGTGTGAGCCAGAAGTAAACATTTGTTGTTTTATTTCACTAGGATTTTGGAAACCATTTGTTCCTGTAGTGTAATCTTCCTGTCCTGACTTACACACAGTTAATGAAACAAAAGTGGTTCTATATTGCTTACAATTATTTGACACTTGGTCTTTAAAACTTTCCCCAAATAATACAGTCAGGGAACCAGAGTGTCACTGAGAAATAAAGTTATATTATGTGTCCACATTAACTATATCTTGCTTTCATCCTTCAGTTTCTATACAAATTTGGATTTTCATGCATTCCCTGATAGACTATTCCAGGCTATAGCCTGCAACAACAGTTGCCAACAAACAATTCCATATTGCATCACTGTCTTTATACAGCAGGGTTTCTGCTCCACAGAGAATATTTGAATTTTTAAATTATATTTTCTCTTCTTATTTTGTAAACATTAATAAAACAGAAAAAGGAAGTGCTGAAGGTAGTTATAAGAAGGACAGACCTAAAATCAGAGCATGATAGGGCAAAAGTGGAAACTGGACCAAAGGTAGCAAACTTTTGACCTCAATTAGACATTCATTGAATTTAAGATGACTGACTTCTTTTCATTGGTTTGGTAAAGAACAGACATAAGAAATATGTAAAATACTAGGAAACATCATTTGATGGTTAAGTTTAAAAATTTATTTATTTAAAATTATATTTAAAAGGCAAGGTGTAAACAGGGGTGCCAGCACCATTTTTGGTGTTAATATATGACTATTATTGTTCATTTTTCACACAATTGACTTTTGTACATACTTCCAGAAACATACTGAATTTTCTTTAAGTAAATTTATTTCAGGTTAATGTGAGGGTACAACCATCCAGATCAAAATATTTGATTTGTTAGGTAGAGTTCATCTTGGGTGTAGTATATACCGAATTTGACTTTGGATACTAACGTGCATTAACCTTGGAGAAGAACACAGATTTTTCTAAGGTTTCCATCTACTCTGCAGGCTCTAAACTGTCTGGTGCCATCTTAAATGGAATAGTTCAACAGAGTTGTTTTCTGTTTTGTGTCTTTGAAATTCCAAATTTACCTAATGATCTTGAGTGGGTTGAATAGTGTCCCTCAGAATGTGACATTATTTGAAAATAAGGTCTTTGCTGATGTAGTTAAGAAATGTCATAATGGATTAGAGTGAGCCTTCATTCAGTGATTAGCATTCTTACAAGAGGAGGAGAGGACACACAGACACTCAAGACACTGGTCATGGACAGATAGAGGCAGAGATTAGGGTGGAAGAGAAGAGCTGAGAGCTCAGAGGGAGCATGGCCCTGCTGACACCTTGAGTTTGGACTCTCAGCTTCCAAAATGTGATGGAATAAATTTCTGTGTTTCAAGCCACCCAGTTTATGGCACTTCATTATTCTAGCCCCTGGGATCTTAATATAAATTGCAAACCAGATAAAGTAAGCCTGTCACTTGGAGGCCATACACAGAGTATAAATGATCTGGGAAGAGGAAACAGAAAGAGGCCTCTGGGGACAGCCACTATTGTTCAAAGGCAGCTCCTAAATGGGCATTGGCAAGCACTATCTTTTAGGGGGGCAAACTTTCATAATCTGTCAAAATTTAAAGTTGGTTTGCCTTTAACTTTTATCCCTGAACTTTGGCCTTGGGGAAGTTATCCTGTAGTAACATTTCCACAAATGGAAGTAGAGTAAAACTGGAAAAAGCAAAAATGCCTACGTATGTACACCATGGCACATCTATGCAATGGAACAGCCATTAAAAATAATGAAATGACTAGATTTAGTTGGTGGTTGCACAATGTTCTAAATGCCATTGAATTGTTCCCTAAAGAATGTTTGATTTTACATTGTGTAAATTTTGCTTCAATAAGATAAAAAAAAAAAAAAAGAATGAAGTAATTTGTATGGGTTAACATTGAAAGACAGCTAAAAATTATTGTTTTTATTTTTATTTTTTTGAGACAAGGTCTCACTCTGTTGTCCAGGCTAGAATGCCATGGCATCAGTCTAGCTCACAGCAACCTCCAACTCCTGGGTTCAAGTGATCCTCCTGCCTCAGCCTCCCAAACAGCTGGGATTACCTGCACCCACCACAACACTCAGCTATTTTTTATGTAGATATGGGGGTCTCACCCTTGCTTAGGCTGGTCTTAAACTCCTAAGCTCAACGGATAATCTCACCTCAGCCTCCCAGAGTGTTAGGACTATAGGCATGAGGCACTGCTCCTGGTCAGCTGAAAAGTCTTGTCGATTGCAAAGAACAAATTGCAGAACAGTATGCATAATACTATTTCATTAATAAGTCTGTAAGTTAGAATTTGTGTATAAAAATCTGGATGAAAATATTTGAAATTCTCTTGCTTGGAGCAGGATGGTTGGGAGTGATTATGGGGATGCTTTCATTCCCTAAGTCCTGTATTATTTGAACTTTTCACAATAAAAGTTATTTTGTAACCAGAGAAAGAGATTCCCATGTCATTTTTATTCTTCCTTCTAATATGAGGGGAAAAACTGGACTGCACTTAAGCTTTAATGGGACTGATGACAAACATAACTTTACGTCATGTCTCCTCTACCTATCTGACTTAGTCAAATAAAATCACCTCCCAGATTGGCTGCTATCCAGAAGGAGGCAAAGGTCATGTGGGCCAGTGTGTGGCAAGCACCATGTCCCCATACTGAGGGCAGGGTGGAGTGGGTCTGGAGTTTTGTGGGTAACCAGTGGGATGTTAGTGGTGGTTGGCGTACGGGCCTCTATACTGTCTCCTGCATTGCTTAGACTTTCCTAAAGAGGGAAAAATAGAGATCTGACTTTTACAAAACTCAGTATATAAAACTGCATGCTAAATTCATGGTTTTCACTGCCATGAAAAAAAAAAGTACTACTTTTTGCATAAAATCCCTCTAACCTGCATAAAGAGCATTCAAGAAGATTTGAGAGTAGGTTGCTCCCCTACTGGGGCAGAGGGTAGGCTTTGGCTTGATCTGTACAGCCACAAAGGCAAAAAGAATCCAGTTTGTATGGGGGATTTAGGCTGCCGTGTGGGTTTATTCAGATCAAGAAAACACATTCGGAGTTTTATATTCACTGTGTGTTTGAAGTGCGACAGCAAGGGGGCCGTGAAAGGCAAGTTGGGAGTCTCTATCTCGTCTTTTGTCATTGGCAAAGCTCACACACACTGCCTGTTAGCTTTCGCCTTGCCACGTTCTTTCTTTTTTTTTTCTGCTGATACAACAGCACTGTGGCACAAAGCAATTATGCTGAGTTAATACTCTCCAACCACATAAAGGCAAGATAAGTCAAGATGGAGCAAAGTTTCCCCAAATCCCCACTGAATGATTATTTTCTTGGTTAGGAACACAATCCTGATGATGAAAGAGTCTGAGCTAATTTGTGCTTATGAAAGGGCACCCGCAAACTAAGCGAGCCTAGTCAGACCGGCTTATTGCTAAGTGAAATCAGAAAGGAAGCCTTGCTGGCTTGTGGAACGCTCCCCAGTTGCCTTTGTTTCTTCGTGCCTGGCTACGTGATTTGCCGTGTGCATCGTCAGTGAAGTCCTTTAGCCTGCATGGCAAAGTCCGCTGATTCTTAAATCAGACCAAGGCGAAAGGATTTGTGAGACAAGTGCTCGGTCACCCTTTCCAGATGATAGCAGGTGCCTTCTAACTTCCGTCCCTGAAAAATCCTCAATGGCCACTTTGATCCATTTCCTCTGTTGAGTTTTGGGAGGACTTAATGTTAGGATTAAGAGGTTTGGGAGCTATCTCTTAGGTCTCTTCAGTGTCTTCCAAAGGCTGAATGGACTGGGATGAAGGCATTTTACCCTTTTCAACACAGATGTTTGGGGCACCTGCCTCCTTGGGTTTGCCTGCCTGCCTCACAGCCCTGGTACCCTTCTCACATGCCAGCAAGCTCACCCCAGACACTCGGCTGGGTGGGTGAGGGGTCAGGAGTGCCTAGCTAACAGAAACAAAATGTGAAAACCAGCCTGAGGATGTGATGGTCACACCAGGGAGACTAAGGAGAGAGAAGTCAGTGCCCACTGCCGTGCTCTCACACATGGCTGGGCTCAGAGCAGGTGAAGCGCCCTGCCCCTTAGGGTGGCTCCAAAGCCTGTCCTGTCCTAATGAATTGTGTCTGATCATGCAAAATAAGCTCTTGGGTGCAGGGCTGGCCGTGGTCATTTCATTACCCTGGCAGGTAGGCCAGGCAGATTTTACCAGGCCGATACCAGAGAGAGGTGCCCCACTCAAGGAAGAAGGTGAATGGTCTCAGCAGGAGAATCAGCTTCCAAGGACCAGAGCTCAAGCCCAGAGACCTGCGAGATTGAGAGCTCAGATCTCATCACAGCTGGCAATCGTGTACCTGAAACATCCAGGTAAGAGGGTTAAGCCCTTCTCTACGTGTCACTTAGTTGTAATCACATCACTGGGCTCCCATCCAATCCTCTCAGAGAGACATCTTGACACAGATTGGGATGAGGACTCCCATTATATTAGTATATGCATAGAGATACAGGGGAAGTCCCTTAAAAGTGGGTGTGCCCTGGAACCTGCTGGGTGGTCGGAAATTCCTTATGTTCCCTTTGCCACCTCACCCCCATCCCCCGCCCCATGCCTCTGACTGAGCAGGCTGAGAGAGAAAGTACCTCTGAGCAGCACGAGTGCTGGCCATTTTCTTACCTGCTGGTTTTTCTACCACCTGAGTGGATAGCATAAATTGCTTCCCCCCATTGCCCTGGAAGGTGTGACCTGTCAGCAGCCTGGCCAGCTCCCCCTTAATGCAGGGCTGGTTGGCTGCTTTGGGTGTAATCACATCAGCAGTGCATGCAAGGAAGGGTTGAGGGCAAGGGGCACAGACCACATGTATGGGTGGTCTTGGCTCTCTCCATTAGGTGAAAAATGTGCAATTTGTAATTTCTGTATCTATTATAAAAAATGGAACCATGTCAATTAATGTGGCTAGTGTTAGATGCTTGTATAATTCTATCACATTTCCAGCAACTGTAATATAATATTCCTTCCAAGAATGTCACGTTGGGATGTTGGGGAGAGGTTGTCTTTATGATCTGATATACTGAGGCATTCCCATTTCTCACCATTGCCTCTGCTAGCTAAAGGTTCTGCTGCTGTAGCTCATCTGTATCTCTGTTTCTCAGAATTCTTGTTTCACTCACATTAGATAGTGTTTGAAGATGGTCCTAGGAAAAGCCCAAGGCAGCTGAGGTAGCTTAAATCAAATGGAGTAGGGTTATGATGAGAAAGTTAGGTTCTCTATAGAATCTTTCTTCCTGAACTCCTGATGCTAAAAGCTGTGTCCTCCAACCATGACCTTCATTCATTTAACAAGTACTTATGGAATAACTACTTGAGTTTAGAGACTGGAGAAAGAAGCACAGAAATGCATTATCATTAAAAAAAGGAAAGAAAAAAGTCAAGCAAATATCCTAAAACTTGTTCCAGGACAGACTTACGTAACTCCTGGCTGGCTTGAGCTTTTTATAAAATCTCTTTTCTCATTTTGGGATTTCTACTCCACCTTGACATTCTGGCAGATGGGGAGGTGTAGTTGCCATCTGTCTTTATTTTTTTAACCCCTCCACAGGACATTGCAAAGTGGGCACCACAGGGACATCCCACACAGCCAGCTCTGTTCTTTCACCCAAATGCATGGTGCTTCTCTGCCAAGTTCTCCAGCAGAGGAGAGGCTGGCACAAGTCTCTGGCTGACGTCTGCCTGCCCTTTGGCTCTTTGGAAAAAGAAAAGTAGGACAGGCTGGAGGACCTCTGGGTATGCAGGTTGGGCTGGAAAAATACAGTTTCAGGGATTTTGGCTTTTGGAGTCAGAGTCTCTTGTAAGAGAGTCACATGTAAGTGATGGTGTCTTTACTCAGTGTAACCGGTCTGCTGTCTATGCCCCTCTGGAAGGATGTGATCTGGGGGCTGGAGGAGTGTGGCCTGGTCTGACCATAGGTGTGCTCTGTTTCATGGGTGGGGAGGATCTGGGGGTGCTGGGGCTGAAGCACAATGCTTCTCCTTCATACGTTCCTTGAGGTCAGAGACTATGGCCTCTTTGCCATTGTATCCCAGAGCCTGGTACATCACGGATGCTCAATACATACTTCTAAGAAGTGAATAAGTAGAAGAAAGCAAATAAGGCTAGCATGGACTGGAGAAAGAGCATGGAGTTTAGATGGAGAACAAGACTGGCTCTCAGGCTTGCTGCTCAAAGGCAGTATAAGCGAGTTCAGCACCCTCATCTGTGAAATGGAGACAATGAACCTTTCCTCTTAAGGCTGCAGTGGGGATGAAATGATACAGAGTGACATAGCTCTTGGCCCATGGCAGGCCTTAAGAGGTATTTGCTATTTACTAAAAGGTCCTAGGTGGCTTGTCATCGATGTAGGGATAGGGGTGTCCAGCTTGTAGTCTTGGCCAGCTTGGGGTTCTGAGGTTGAGCAACAACCTTGGTTGGTGGTAGGATATTCCCAGGGATAGAATTCATAGCTGTGATATAACTCAGGACATACTCATTTGTTGTGAGTAGCCTAAGGGATGAAAAGTTAATGTCTGGCACGTAAGTATCTCTGGATCATGGTGTGGGGTCTCTTTCCTGAACTTGCTCCACTGAGTATGTCTGCATCCCCTAAGCCATCAGAGTCCCATCTGTGAGGGCAAACACACTTTGATATCATTGAACTTTGTTTGGAAAGCTTGATGAGTGAAGTATAGAAAAACAAAGGGTGGGCAGTGAGCAGAATGACCCCTTCCAGCACCACTTGGGTTGGAGTCCAGCCCTGTCACTAATCAGCCCTGGTGCCTGGTGCATGTCCTGTAATCTCTCTTGGTCTTACTTTTCTGTTTCCTAAAATCATGGGTGGGTGGCTCCTGGGGAGTTGCTCTAAATTCTGTCTCACTTTTTCCCCCGACAATCACAGGACAGATGGTGTCTATACATGCATTACATTCTTAGGAATTTATACACAGATTTGAGACACCTCCCCAAATGTTGTAAGGGAACAAGGCATTCAATATTTTGAAATCACTACTGATATTACCAGTTCAGCAAAACTATTTTCTTGCTATGGGCACGGCATAAATAGGATTGGTTGTGAGTGATGTGCAGTTTCTTTGCAAATGTTCCAAGTCTGTGCTTCCAGCCTGTCTCTGCCACGCAAGAAAGTATAGTGCGTCAGAATATGAGTGTGATAAGTGTCCTTATGGGGTAACTGTGCTTCTGTCTTATTTTATTTAAGAAGTCACAATGCATAATATTCGATCCTTTGTTGATGGTAGATATTCCCTGTGATACAATTCATAGCTGTGATATATCATGACATACTCATTTGTTGTGCCATCCAAACTGAGAATTACTGGACCTAATAAGTTCAAAGGGGGCTGATTTCATGTGTATTTAGGACTTGGTTCCAAAATAGAGACATCCAATTGAATAGCAGGCTACAATTATGGGGTGCAGTTGGTTTTGAGGGGGTTGGGGAAGAGGAGGGAACCCACCGCCAAAGAATATGAAAATCTTCTGTCTTGATAACTCACCCGTTGCAGACATCATTTCCAATCATGGCATATATAACGATGGCTGGTTGGTCTAACAGTTGGTTCCTAGACAAGCTGAGAAGACACAGATGGAATGTGCAGATCAGACACTTGGAAGCCTAGCTCTGTGACCAGTGACACAGGCCAGGCCTGTGAAAATAATCTCAGTGCCACCACGGTCGTGGTCAACATTTTGCTGTTTTTCTTTCGTGCCAAGATAGCCAATCAGCATTCCTATTTCCCCTCTTCTTTTCTATAATCATTATCCCATCTCCCTATCAGGCAAAGGCCACATAAATACATAGATTTGAAGAGTGGGTTGAAATCCCATGTAAATAGACGCACTACCATCTTGGCCTCTTTCACGCCATCTGTCACCAGTAAGCATAAGTGTGTCCCTGGGTCACTTGTGTCCACATTCGTAGGACCCACTGACAACTGTGGATCTATAGTGGACTTTGAAAAGATAAGGGCTTCCTTGGGCTTCCATTCGGGGCACACAGATCCTTAATTCTGATTTTTCAGCCCCAAGTAAGCACAAAATGTTTTCTCATTCACAGTGCAGCAGTATGACATAATCTTTTCATCTTTTCAGTTACTTCTGCCAGACCTAAGCTATTCCCACTTTGTATGCATTTTTATAATCCTTTCTTGAGGACAGATGCAAATTAATCACTTTCTATGCTCGCTGGCCTAAGGAGTGATATCCTAGTGTATGGAGAATGACTAACAAGCTATTTATGCTCAGTAGAAATGATTATGAGGTGACAGCAGAGAATTTTCATCCCTTTTTGAAAATGAGAAACAAAATTTAAAAACAGCTTCTTAGATCCGTTTTTCACTTACCTTTCTAAAAATCTCTTCAGGTTTCGGGAAGATGCACCTGAATAATTAAAAGTAAGAAAATAATTAAAGTTAGTGAGTTCAATTTCACACTAGTGAAGTGAGAGTCTGATTGACTAAATTCATGAAAGAAACATTATCATATGGTCAAATGTTGTCCAGACCATGACATTGATGGAAATAACAATTCCAGTGAATTTCTGCAGTGTTTAATCCTGGAACTCTCCTTAATGGGGTTTCTGTTAATTTGGCGTTGTATTAACATAACTAAAATTTCCTGGGATTTATGGGTCTCGAGATAGGAAATATCTTGAGATATTTAATTAATAATTAATTCCTACTAATGGTAAGTATGAATGAGTAAACTCTTTAGTAGATGTGAGAGAAATGTATATATCTCCCACCAAAGAGGCAAACTACCCAAAATATTAAAGAATGGGTTGAAGGATCAGAGGAATAGGATTATTAAGAACTACCTGTGTCCCTGGAGAGCCCCATTTAATTTCTTTCCAGTGGTCGTGCTCCCTCCTAGGGTTCTTTTGTACTGTCTGGTGTTTGGATAGTAGAGTTGATATATTTCAACTTCTGAAATGCTATACAGCACTATTTTTCCCCCAAACCCTGTTACTGTGTGGAATATATCTTTTATATGAAAATCAATCAAGTTTATGGAATGCTTATTTTATTTAGGTACTGTTAACAGCTGTGCCAGGTAGGCACTATAGTATTTCCATTTTCTAGATGAGAAAACTAAGATTCACTTAAGTGACTCTCCCAAAGCCAAACAACTACCAATTTGAATAACTGCAGCTCAAACCATACCCTTCCCTCTGCCAAGCTCTTCCTCCCTGGGGGTTTCTGCTCCTCTGGGCTGGGGTCTAGATGCAGTGACCCCAAACAGGTTTAGTGCCTTTTTGACCCTGGAGGGTAGTCTGCTAGTATTAAGTGAATAATCCTCAGGTGGATGGCACAACTCAGCGGAAGTGAGAGTTGGAGAAACAACCTCCAGTTGCCCCTTTCCAGTAGGAGAATTCTCTTGTAACTTCCAGCCTTGGAGGCTTGGGGCAGATACGTTTATGACAGAGCCAGGGTGTTCTTCCAGTTCCACATGGGGAAAAGGGCATAGTGGCCCATGTTCCACTGAGACCGTATGGCTGTTTGCAGTGAGTGACTGCCACATACAAGTTGCGAGTTGCATGGGCAGCACTGGTGTTCTCTTGGCTTATTCAGAAATGTTAGCCCATTAAGTGAAATTGCTTTATTTCTCTTTTTATTGCAGCAAAATATACATCTCATAAAATTTATCACTTTAACCCTTTTTGAGTGTATGCCTTTCCAAGGCATTAAGTACATTCATATGGTTGTATAACCATTGCCACTATTTAGCTCCAGGATTTTCCATTGTCAGAAATGGAAACTCTAAATCCATGAAAGAATAACTCTCTATTAACTCATCTCCACAGTACCTGACAACCACCATTCTATCTTCTGTCGCTATGAGTTTAATGATTCCGGGTACCTCACGTAGATGGCTCATGAAATTTGTCTAGCTTATGTTCCTTAGCATGTCCTCAAGATCCACCCATGTGTTAGCCCATATCAGAATTTCCTCTTCAAAGTTCTTCATATGGCTTAGTAATATTCATATGCATATGCCTCATTTTATCCATCTATCAATAGCCATTTGGGGGATTTCTGCCTTTTGGTTCTTGTGAATGGTACTGCTATGAATGTGGGAGTACAGGTATCAATTGAAGCCCTATTTTCAATTCCTTTGGGTCTATAGTATACTTATTGAATTCTATGTTTAATCTTTTCTTTTCTTTTTTTTTTTGAGACAGAGTCCCACTATGTCACGCTGGTAGAGTGCTGTGGTGTCACAGCTCACAACAACCTCCAACTCATGGGTTTAAGCAATTCTCTTGGATCAGCTTCCCATGTAGCTGGGACTATAGGCATCTGCCATTATGCCTGGCCATTTTTTGGTTGCAGTTGTCATTGTTGTTTAGCTGGTCCGAGCTGGGGTCAAACCCACCAGCCTTGGTGTACGTGGCTGGCACCATAACCACTGTGCTATGGGTGCCGAGCCCTACGTTTAATCCTTTTTAAGAAACTGTCATATTATTTTGTTTCCTTTCTGTAGTGAGGCAAGGTATTATTAAAAATGCACACAGCAATACAAATTAGAGGCGACCAGTCCACCTCAGCACACAATCATCCTTTTACCCACTCCATTCCTTTGTTGGGTCCCAGCCATGTCATAGGAGATGACCAGATGAGTTAACTATCTCTCTATGCCTGAGGGATAGGGCCTAACCTGAGTGATAGTATCTGGGGGGGTAGATACATTATTACGTGTTGGGAACAATTTTAGAAGGTTAGAGTAAATCCAACCCCAATGCTAGAAAAGAGGAAAGCCCAGTGTGATTTGAGGCCTGCTCAGGGAGGTATCTGAGTTCATAACACTGAGTCCTAAATACAGAGGCCCAAAGTCTTTCTGGATGCGAGATGGCTCCCTCTTGTCCTCCAGAGAGGAGGGCAGGAGGGGAGGCCCTGATGCTGATGTGGTCCCACGGTGGGTCCCCACAGGGCTCACTCGCCAGCTATGCCCTTCATTCAGCTCCAGTCCCACAACTCTTGGCTTTTCATTTTCAGCAAGATGATAAACCAAGAGGTATTTAATTCTCATTCTTTGATTTTTCTCTTAATGAGAAATGAAAACTAATGAAATTGCAACCTGAGTGGAGAAAAAAATTAAAGGACCAAGTCAGACCAATAATGTTCCTCATTGTTCTGGAATTTTGGGTTGCAGAGCACCTACAGTGTGTCCATGAAAATGAAAAGGAAAACCCGTCATGGCATGCCACATGGCAGCTGTCCCCACACCCAATACCACCTTTGCAGCTCAGGACAAGGATGACAAACCAATGGCAACAGGCTGTGGTAAGTTTAAAAAAGGCAATCACACATAGCCAGCCAAGGAGCCAGGAGTTGCCACTCTTCTTTATCCAGATGTTTCCTTTTCCTGGTAGATATTCATACCGTGAACCCAGAATTCTCTTTATTCCAAAGTTCTTGTACTTTCCACTATTTTGGAAGGAAATCTCAGTTTTATGAGGTTATATAATTAGCTTATGTAATTCCCACATCACTGTTTCATCTTAATTCCCCTTTTGTTGTTTCGCTTTCCTTTTGCTAGACTCATCAGCATCTGCATCTGTCTCCCTCCGTCCTCTATTATCTTTCTCCTCCTGTGTACAGACATCTCCCCAGTCGCTGATTTTGCTGCTGCTGCTACAATTAGAGAAAACAGGGACTGGTAGCAAGTGGAGCTGGAAGATGTGACCAGGAAAGAAAGACAGCTCCTCGTTTGTGGGATGAAGCAAAAAAAAGGCAAACATTTGAAGAATCAGAATATTGTTAAGTCCATATTCTGATCTCCACAATCATAGTTCAGAGAAATGAAAAAGGTTTGACCTTGGAATAGGGGCATTTTATTTATAGGTCAAGGCAGTCCAATGGAGAAGCTACTTGTCCCCAGCTAAGGGAAGAAAGGGTCTATGTAGATCTTTAAAGTCAGAATTCTGATTCATTTCTTCTCTTTTAAATAAGACACAGTATATTCTAGGGAAAGAAGAGTTTCCCATGATCTCAGCATTGGTTATCCCTCCATACATGAATTTCAGCTTACATTTCCACTGCTGGACCAGCAAGCATTTCGTATTATGTGCGTTCAGATAAACTGGTAGACAATTTTAAGGACTTCTAAATGAGCTTGTAACTTTTTGTGGCTGGCCCAGACTAGGCACTAAATCTCAAATTCTTAATGAAAAGAGACGAGTTATTTTAAAATACAAGTTTAGGAAGTTTTCATAAATTAAGAAACTCATTAATTCAGCAACATTTATGGAGTATAGTAATCCCCTTGCATTCCTGTCCACCAGTGGGTGCCTGACACCTCAGACAGTACCGAATCCTATATATACTATGCTTTTTTCTATACATACATACCTACCTATGACAAAGTTTAATTTATAAATTAGGCACAGTAAGAGATTAACAGCAATAACTGATAATGAAATAGAACAATTAAGTCGAATAGGGGTTACTTGAGCCGAGCACTGCAATCCTGCAACAGCTGATCTTATAACCAAGATGACTACAGGCGGGGAGTGTCTACAGCATGGATAGACTGGACAAAGGGAGAATTCACCTCCTGGGAGGAATGATGTGGACTGGCATGCAATTAAGATTTATGAATTGTTTATTCTGGAATTTTCCATTTAATATGATCAGGCTGTAGTGGAGATGAACAATCTAAACCTCGGAGAGCAAAACCATGGATGAAGAGGGACAATTGTGTGCCAGGCATTGTGGTAGGTGCTGGGGACATAGCCATAAATAGAAAAGACATGATTCCTGTTCTTATGAAGCTTATGGTTATTAAAACAAGTAATGAACACAGAATGTGAGGGATTCAGAGAATCCCTGAGTCCTAAAAGAAAAATAGGCATTTTATTATTTATCTGAAGTCTTAAGATATGAGCTCATTATTTAATTTCTAATAAAACAACTGATGCTCTTTGCACACGGCTCAGAAACAAATATCTACTTTTATGCTATAGTTGTTACAATTATCTATAGGACGGGGAAGATCCGGATTTTGTGAGTTCTAAAGCTTATATAATTTGGAGGAGGTTCTTTAAGGAAAAGAACAATAAACACAGACCTGACATTAGATGGAAGCTAGAGTGGTAAGAAACAGGGGTGGAAAAACAGCTCATGTTGGTAAGTGTTACAATTACATAGGGTAACCAGGCAAGCAAAGGGCCCCCAAACATCAGTGTCATTAACTTCAAACTCTCAGCATTCCTTAGAGCTGTGGTCCCCAACCCCTGGATTGTGGACTAATATCAGTCTGTGGCCTGGAGGGAATCTGACCTCACAGGGAGAGGTGAACAGTGGGCAAGTGAGTGAAGCCTCATCAAATTCACAGCTGCTCCTGATCCCCCCACCCTGGTTCATGGAAAAAATATCTTC